TCATCAATCCATTCATCCAATAACCTTGTTTCTGTCAATCCACCCACCCCTCCAATTACCCATCAATCCATCTCTCCAATCACTCATCTAGTCTCCATCCACCCACCTATTCATCTATCGTCTACTGATCTCTCCAGTCATCTATCTGCAGTCATACCTATCTCCAACAATCTGTTCATTCATTCATTCATTTATCACCTGTCTCCTCATTCATTTATTTGCCATTCAGTCATTCACCTGCCCACTTCTTCATTTGTTCATCCACGCACTCATGCATCCACGTATGCATGCATGCATGTATGCATCCAATTGTCCATCATCCAGCCATGCATTTGTCTGCCCATCTGTCCATCCATCTAATCATCCATCCATTCATTCCATCATCCACCCATGCATTCACTTATGCATCCATGCACCCACACCTTCACGTATGTGTCCACGCATGCATCCATGTTTACAGATTGCCTTTCATACACCAGACCTTGAGGGTCCCATGACGACAAAGCAGAGATGGCCTCTGCCCCCAAAGTCCTTTGTTACTAAGGAAACACTCAACAAGTACAAAGATAAACCAAGATGGACACGGACGGATGGATGTTCTGGAAGATAGACCTTGGTGCCCTGAGGGAGGAGGGTGGGCTGGGTTAGAGGGGGCTAATCTCCTGTCTTCTCCACAGGGGACTGTAAAGCTTTGCTGAGATCTGAAGGCTCAGAAGGGACTGGAGCAGGAAGGTTCCAGAAATGTATCTTTTTTTTTATTTTTTTTTTTTTTTTCTTATTTCTTTTTTTTTTTTCTTTTTTTTTTTTTTTTATTTTTTTTTTTTTTTTTATTTTTTTTTTTATTTTTTTTTTTTGGTTTTTTTAGGTTTTTGTCTTTTTTATTTTTTTGTTTTTTCTTTTATATTCTTTTTTTTTTTTTCTTTTTTATTTTTTTTTATTTTTATTGTTGTTTTTTTTTTTTTTTTTCTTATCTTATTATAATTATTTTTTTTTTTTATTTTTTTTTTTTTTTTTATTTTTTTTTTTTTTTTTTTTATTCAGTGTTTTTTTTTGTTCAGGTGTTCACAGCTGGAAGTGAGGCCTTTTGTTGGCAAGTTAATCCACCTCCCTCTGCCCTGCCCTGGCGTGCTCACCTGTATACGGAGTCCTGATGTCCTGTGATAGATACTCCAGGTCAGACAGCCGTGGGTTCTCAGAGCCCAGAGCCTGGCGCTGTCTACAGAAAGCGGAAGTATGGGTCCCTAGAAGCTGGAAGGGCCTTCCCTTGGTGTCCCCTCCCAAGGCCCCACAGACTGACCCCCCACTTTCTCACCCTTCTGTCCCCCCATCCTGCTACTCTCAGGCAGTTTCAGGTCCTGTTTCTGCTCCTGGGGAGGGAATTACTGGAAAGGGTGGCTGTGGCCAGCACGGGTTTCGTCAACTCAGCACCCGGGCGGGTGGGGGGGTGAGAGGATAGCCTGTCCTTGGGGACTGTCCCCAGCAGGCTGCTGGCTTGCCAGAGCTTTGTGAGCACATGACTTCCGTGGGGACTAGTGGTCCTCCGTGGATGCTCATCTAATGCCTGTTCCCCGGGCTTCACAGCCAGAGACCCTGATCCCTTGCGCAGCTCCGCCACTTGCCAGCTAAATTCTCTCAATACAGGGAAGCCAGGGGGAGCCCCAGTTTTCCCCACTATGTGATGGAGCCATGGCTATATATATTCTGGCTCACACAAGCCTCCAGGAAGACAGAGAAGCAGGATTGGAGAAGAGACAGAGCAAGCTAGTGCACCCAACCCATGAATTGTGAATGTCCCTTCATGTCCTCGGCGTTCCCTTTCTGGCCTTATCTCTTTCTCTGCCTCCCGCTCTCCACCTCTACCCTCTTCTCTGTCTTCAGAAAATAATCTAATAATGAATTTTAAATGTATTCATTACTTATTCATTCCCCTCCTTCCACTCCCAACAGGGGCTCGGAGCCCTTGACAATAATAGCCACAGGCAGGGGACTGTTGCATGGGGATCTACAGAGGACATCAAGAAAGAACTGCAGAGGAGCTTGGAGGTCACCGTGACCACCCTGTTCCTCCTGTTACAGCCAGGGAAACTGAGGCTCAGAGGCAGGATCAACAGGTCTTTTGCGCTACAGCTACAGTTACTGTGAGCTATAACCTGGGGAGAGGACCCCAAGTAGGAACAATGAGTCCTTTTCTATAGCTGGGATTGGACACTGAGTGTTTCTGTGGTAAATGCCACTGAAAAATCAGAGCTTCTCAGAACCCATCTCTCAGGGCAGGACTTGAAGCCAGAGAGCTCTGGGGCCAGGGTCTAGTTGTGCTGCTGTGGCCCATCTATGGCCAGGGATCACACTGCTCCAGGGTGGATACCCAGCGTGTGCAGGCGCTGGGCTCCCCTGGAAGCTCGTAGAGGGATTAGTATTCTGCTTGGGGTGTTACCTGTGGATGGAAACGAGGCCTTAACTACAGGGAGAAGAGGGAAAGAGGAGGTAAATTCAATGAAACCAGATCTCTAGGCTCAGCCAGGTTCACAAGAGAAGAGAGAGCTGAGGGCTGCGTGTTCGGGAGACCCTTGTTATCTATATAGTTCTCAGAGAAGGTCTTACTGTGTAGCCTAGGTTAGCCTCAGACTCCTGTGTCTCTGTCTCCTGCATACTGGGGTTACAGGTGTGCACCAGGACACTCAGCCTCAGGTCCTCCTGAGGGTCTCATGGCCACCTACACTGAGTCACTGGTGCCTGAGGAAGTACCAGTAGAAAAAGTTCAGCCTGAACTTGAACCTGGAGAAGCAGCAGGGTGAAGAACAGGAAACAGATGTGGTGGGGGATTTGTGACAGCCATCTCAAGTTTGAACTCCAACTCTCCAATCATGGGGCCTTAAGCCCGTTACGGACTGGGGTTCCCTCAGCTCTTCATCGGAGATGGGGAAGCCTGCCCATCTCCTGGAGCTGTTGGTGAGACAAGGCAGGAACCTTAAAAGTCCAGGGCCAAAGTGCCCTCAGACACAGTATTATCTGTATTTAGAGGAGCCAAGCTTGGAGCAGGCAGGGTCTATACCTGGGGCTCAGGAGCGGAGGATCCCTGAGGCTTGGTGCCTGAGTGAGAGGTAGTGTCTCTTCCTCCACTTCCTGATAGAGGAAGTGTGGAGAAAAATGAGAGAAACCCCAGTTGCCCAAAGAAGTCCCCTGAAATAAGGGCCTCTTTCTACTTCCTGCCTTGTCCCATCCCTCAGAACCCACCTGCTCCACATGGCCAACAGGTTGGCGTATTCTAAGGTCTGCTCATCTTGATGTAGCAAGGACCAGGGAACAATTATGGAGGAGAAGGAGTGGGGGACAACAAACCTTGTTGTTCGTTTCCCAAGTACAGGCACTGGCTCTCACTCTACGGCTGACAAAAGCACAGCATTGATTTTTGTTTTTAAACCAAAGAAAAATGAGAAGAAAGATTTATCACACGGGGCATCGCTGGGTGAACTGCTAAGTGGTTGATGGAGGGACAGCTGCGGATGCTGTGGCCAGTGACCCTGGCTGGCCCTGCCGAGTGCCCAGATGCTGTGAGCCAAACGGTTTCCTCAGCCTGGCCTTCTGCTCTGTGTGCGTGCGTGCATGCATGCATGCATGCATGCATGTGTGTGTGAGAGCGCGCGCGCGCGTGCGAGCGCATGTGTCTGTTCCCTTGCATGTGCATATGCATGCATCTTTATTTCCCTCTGTGGCATTTTATCCATTTCATGAACTTCTACTGCATGCCAGGTGGGCGTCACAGGATTCCTACAGAGGGCTGCTTACAGTTCTGTGGGGAACACTGAACTGTGGACAGGTGACAAGGGCTGTTCTGGGGGCCATGGGACCATGTGTACCAGATTTACCTGCAGCCCACCTACTGCTGCCTTCAAACAAGAATCTAGTTTCGTTTTAAATGTCTTTAGGCTGGTATTATATACTACCAGTCTTGGGAAACTGGGCTCTAAAGAGTCCTGAATTTGAAGTCCAATGAAAAGCGCTGTAGGGACTCGTGGGGAAGTCAGGGCAGGCCTCATGGAGGAGGTGATCTTGGTTGAAGGACATTGCCTGAAGGTGTATGGATAGCTTCCATAGAGTGAAGGGACAGCCAAGGTGGAGGCATGGGTGTGTGACGTGACCCCTTGCAGGACGAAAGGGCCAAACTGGACACGGAACAATCATTCGCCTGGGTTGAGGATGACTTATTTTATTGTTGATTGGTGCCAAGGATGCAGGCTAAGCTGCGTCCTCGTGAGCCTCCTGTGTCAGGCTGAGAGCCCAGCTGACTGGGACTGCTTCTCGGGGGGGGGGGGGGGGGGGGCTCCCTCATACCTTTCTGCCCCAGACAGTTGCTCGTTGTGAGTTATTTTAAGTGGTGTGTGTGTCGGGGGGTTAGGTACATTATTGAATACAGGTGCCCGTGGAGTGCTTAAGAGGACATCAGACCCTTTGGAGTCCCAAGCAGTTGTGAGCTGCCTGATGGGAATGCTGGCAGCCAAACTCTTGCCCTCTGCACAGATAGCAAGCGCTCTTAGCCACTGAGCCATCTCCTCTAGCCTGACGATTGCACTTTGCATTTTCTGAACTCAGGTACCCCCCAGGGGCCTCCCTGGTCCTCTGAAGACTGCGGTGGCCAGCCCCTGACATCAGAAATTTTATAGATCAAACGTGGCAGCTTAAGGGCAGCGATGTTTTAGAGAGCTTCCTGGGGCTCCTAGAATCTGTGTGCCAGCCGTCAGGGTGTGCTCCTCTCTGCTATCCATGTGTCCGTGTTCATCTCAAAGCGGGAGTGGGAATATTAGGCACTGAGAAGAACTTGCACTCTAGCTACTATGGGTTTCTATGGGCTCATTCATTTGTTCGTTTTTTTAGTCGTTAATCTGCCTACTTCAGCATTCATTACTTCACCCCAAATCATCCCTTCACTCAGCACGAACTCACAGATGCCAAATTGTACAACCCAAGTTCAAGGCCTTCCAGTGAGAAATCCGGGCCACACATATTTAGTGACCTTTTTATTTATGTATCTCCCCACCTGAAAACAAACAAGCAGTCTCAAGGTGTTGGCAAACTGCCACAGGAATGGTATCAGTAGGTGGTTCCTGAAGAAGCTGGGTCAGGACCCAGGCAGACCTCCCGGAGGAAGAGGTCAGCAGTGTGGAAGGGTCTGAGTGAGGATGGAGGAAGCCGAGGAAGTGAGGTGGGGGGCTGGGGGCTGGAGCCCGCCTGCCACTCTAGTCGGGAAAGAGCAGGAAGCCCGAGAAGACGCTGTCCGAGCCCTCAGTGCCCACCATGCCGTTGTAGTCGTTGACTTCCAGCCATACCTCATCGCCCCTCTGCTGCCGCAGCAGAACTCCTCCCGAGGTGACCTGCTTGCTATTGACCATGTGGTCGCAGAAGCTGGTCACCTTGGCATGGTTGTGTAACAGCTGCACGCACAGGTTGGCCGTCAGTGACGCGTGGTAGACAAAGTAGTAGAGGCCTGGCACTTTGCAGGTGAACTTCCCTGTGCTGGTGTCATAGTCCCCCTGGGGGTTGGTGATGACAGAGTTGAACTTGACCAGGCTGTTGGCCGCTGGGTACTGGGAGGTCTGCCGGGTAACGGTGAACACCGACTGGTGCTTCTGCTTGTATCGGCCCTCCTCACCTGGCTCCCCACGAGGTCCCATGGGGCCTGGATCCCCTGGCAACCCGAAGGTCCCCATGGGGCCATTTTTCCCACGATGGCCAGGCAAGCCAGGCTCGCCCTTCTGACCCTTGGGTCCTCGTGCCCCGGGGATGGCTGGGATCCCTGGAAAGAGAGCAGACAGGAGAGGATAGGGGGCAGGAAAGGGGACCCCAAGTGGGTTTGGCAGTGACCTCTAGCCTATATTTCCCAGATGGCTCTGGCTAGAGAAAGGGGGCAGGGTGTGTATGTGTGTGTGTGTGTGTGTGTCTCCTTTAGTCCTGCCTTTGGTCCATCCCTGTCTCACTTTCCAAATCTGTGGTGGAGGGAGAGGGGCCCTAGAGGCAGTGAAGGACAGTGGAACAAGAGCCACTGTGTGACTTTGAGTCAGTTGCTTGATCTCTCTGGACCCCAGTTTTGACATTTGCAAAGTAGAAGCAAATCATGCATCTAAAGGATTTGGGCCTCGGTTTCCCCATTTGTAAAGCATGGCTGAGACGGTCATCTGCTCTGGGAGGTGAACGTGCACCGTGCTCAGAGAACACCAGAGCTGAGCCTGGTACCACAGGGATCACAGAACTGTCCCTGGCCAGCCTATGAGCAGGGTTTTCTAAAGTGCAGCCCTGGGGGGGGCCTCATGGGCTCCCCTGAAGTGAGTAATTCCTTCCAGAGTCGCAAGATTCCATTCTGCGGCTCAGAGGAAAGAGGGCCACATTCCTCTGTCCTTGTGAGTTCTGTTCAGTCCCACCCAGCCTCCCTCGTGCCCGTGCCCGCATGCCACTGATCCCCCAGAGAAGCACGTTCACTCGGAGGAGGGATCACCATACCTGCGCTCCCCTCCTCCCTAAGCCTAGCTGTCCACTCCTTTCCACGGCCCTTCCCTCACACCAGGACACCCATTGGAACATTCTGGGTGACGTTCTGGCCACCTGCCCCTCCCTTGCTTCTTGATTGATAGAGACCATCAAACCTGCCAGGTGCTTAATTTTGCCACATATGCAAACTTATTCAAAGCTGTGACACCCTGAGGAGCAGGGACTACAGCGCCTGTGTCGCAGATGTGGAAACGGAGGCACTGCGTGGTTAAGATACCTGTGCAAGCTGGCACAGGAGGTGGTGGGTGTGGCTTTGACCCTGCAGTTAGTACACCCAGAACGACCAGGGTGGGGCACCTTTCCTAGGTGTCCACCTGCATAGTTAGTAGGCTGTTGCCTGCTCATAGGGACAGGGGTTCTCCTTAACTCACTTAATGAGGTCAACAAGCTACAAGGTCACCAGAGTCAGCTGGAGGCTGAAGCCTGGACTCTGAGGACGCAGGAACCAGCCTTGCCGAAAGAGAGGCCCACAGACTCACCTGGCTCACCCTTCGGCCCCTGGAGTCCATCATGCCCATCCTTCCCAGGAGTCCCCGGCAGGCCTGGTATCCCTGGGATTCCATAGCAGCTGGTGCTGGCCTGGCTCCTGAGTGGCAGAGCCAGCAGAAGCAGCAACAGGTAGAGTCCATGTTGGGGCTGGCAGCTGGGTCCTACATCCATCCTGAGGAGGGGCTGCAGGGTGGGGTAGGGAGGGGTGGTACTGAGCTCCCTACTTGCCCTTTTTCCCCCCTCACTGCCCTTCCCCCCTTCCAAAGCCCTTCACCCTGGGGAGCCCACATCCATCCACAGATGAGGGTTTGGTGGATTATGGATAGATGGGGATAGTCGGGTCTCTTCCAAGGCCCAGGACTGGGCTCAGCAAACAGAGCTAGTCCTTGTCCTATGGTTTAGGAAGGGAGATGGATGTGGGTGGGGGGTGGGGGGCTGCATCTCACTCCCACCAGGGCAGGGTCCCAATCTCACCTGAGGGTGTAGGGGACTTCAGGCCTAATCAAAGAGATGTGCTTTTCTCCCAGGCAGGAGGACAGAATGGACAAAGAACTGCCCTGGGTAGGCTCTGGTGCCCCTCCCCCCACACCACCCTAATCCCACATCCTCTTTCCAGCAATTTCTCCTGACTTGACACTTTCTTTTAGGTTCTGAGCCAGGCTGACCACAGTGACACCTCTGTCCGCCCCTTCCTTCCCTGGCCATAGGTCATGTGTGATGAAATGGGGAAGTATCTGCTGTCCCCTCATCCTGGGAACATGAGGGTGCATGTGCGTGTGTGTGTGTGTGTGTGTGTGTGTGTGTGTGTGTGTGCAAGTGTATGTGTGTTGCATGTGTACGTGCATAGACCTGAGCCCAGGGCACAGCTGCCCCCAGGGGCAGGGTGGCCATTGAATTTGTAGCCCCTCTACGGCATTAGCCATGCCTGAGTCCCCATGTCCTTCCATCTCCCTGAGGGGAAGTTATAGTCCCTCTTCCAGAAGAGGAGACTGAGGCCTGCCCTAAGTCACACACTGGATGGTTGTCAGGGTGACCCCTGTGCTCATCAAGTCCCCCAAAACAAGCCTCACATGCAGCTGTCAAGTGGCGGGCTTGTTCTAGAAAGATCCACACACCCATTCCATTGTCAGGCTCGGGGAAGAACACCAGGGTGAGCTTGCTTTGCCTCAGTGCATCGGCTGGTCTGGCTAGAGAGCCGGAGCCTCAGCTTTTCCTTGCTGGTGACGCCCTGATCTGTAGACACATCGCTGCTCTACAGGCCCATTTCCCCATTGGGTGTGGGGAGCCTGGGCATGACTGGCACCAGCTGTCTCTTTCCTGATCTCCCACCACCTTGATGCGCATCCCCAGCCCCATCATCCTGGCCCCCACCTTGGCTCTGGTCGTAGGGCTTGTGGTGGTCAGGCCAGAAGTCCCCTTGTCTCTTTCCTCAAGTGGGACTTTTAGGATAAAAGGAAGTTTGGGGTGGCAGAGCATCCCAGCCTTGCCCCTTTTATTACCTGGGCTTGGGTAGGGTTCCTTGTAGGGCACCATGCATGTGCTACACCCTGGCCCACGCTAGCAGTCCAGGCTGCCTAGCTAAGTGGTTCTAGGGGTCTTGTTTTTCCAGTCATTCTGAAGATTCCTCCCCGTATAGCCCAGGATATGCCATGAGGCCAGGGTGAGAACCCACTGGCATCCCAGGGCTGGGGGAACATAGTATGTTCTGCATTGTGGGAATGCCTTAATGGAATCTCCTCTTTTCTGTCTTGGTTGCCTCTGGGCCATGTTTATCTCATCCAGCAGGTGGCAATCTCGGTCTGTGCTCAGCCCTCTCTGCCCCGCCCCCCTTTCTGCCTGGCACAGCTTCCAGTCTCAGAGGAACTGAGATTTGCAGGTGACAGGATGAGACAGGCTGGAATGCAGGCTCAGGAGGGGTTCAACACTCCTCCCTACTGGTTCATACATTGCCCTTCCTTTCAGGACCCCACAAAGTGAAGGGAGCCCTCCACTTTGGGGCCAGACAGCCTGGTTTAGATCCTCCATTTTCCAGCAAGGTGGTTTGACTCCTGCTTCCTTTCACGGAGCCCCAGTGCCCACAACTGTTTGCATCCCATGTCTTTGTGAAGCCAGCACATGGGGTCCCCAAAGCCAATGTCTTTCCCAGCTTGTGGAGGTGTGCATTTAGGGGTCAGGGAGAGCTAGGGACAGAGTGGATGGAGGAAAAGTCAAGGAGCTCTGAGGGTCATGTGGTGGCCTGGAGCTGAGAGGGCCCACTCTCCCTGGAGTGTACCACTTCTTTCCGTCCTCAGAGGCTAGTTTGCATGTCCCTGCATGCAAACGGGACATGGTTTGCATGCCGAAAGGGACATGCAGGATGTGTTGGGGATAGCTCTGAGACCAGGGGCACCAGCCAATGAACAGGAGGGATCATCATCCCTGACTCTGAAGTGTGAGCACACGGGGTAGGGGTTAGTGTGGGAGGAAACACAGGCTTTCTTATTGCTGTGCATGTGCGAACATGCACATCTATCACAGGTGTGCAGGAGTGTGTGCACGTGCATATGTGTATGTGTATTTGGAGAAATAACGTGTGTGTGCACGTGCAAGTGCACATGCACGCGTGTGTGCTTGGAGAAGTAACTAGTGTGTACCTCTAAGGTATACCTAGTGTGCTAGGAGGAAGTCTATGGGTTCACGTTTTGGTGAGGAGTGGGTGAGTCTCAGCCCAGGAATGTGGGACAGTGTAAGTCTTGAGGGCAGCGTGTGATTGCTGTGAAACTGTGTGTGTAAGGCTCCGTGTGCGATTGTGTATGAGACCATGATTGTGGGAATACACTTGAACATGCAGCTTCCTCATCCGCTCCCCCTCCCCCTCCAGGCTGCAAAGCTGTCAGGATAGTCTGCTTGGAAACTCCTCAGGAAACCCAGCTCTGGGAGACTGCTGGGTGTCCCTGAGCCCCTCGTTTGCCCTCTCTGAGCTGGGCTGCAGAAGCCCTGGTGGGATTGATCCAGCATAGCTGGGAAGACTGGGAGGGGGTTGGTCAGCCAGCCCGACATCAGCCCAGCTCCTCCCCTGAGGTGATGGCCTGAGGCTTGATGGCCCCTGCTCCAGCCTCAGTGCCATCATCTTGGACACACGGTAAGAACACCCACCTTGGCACTTGGCTAGCAGGATGGAACAACACAGAACAGCAATAGGCCCTGCCTGCAGTTTTCACACACTCGTCCACAGCAGCACCACCCCCGACCCTGCATCAGAGCTTCCATTACCAGCATCATTTAGCAGATCTGGAAACTGAGGCCACTCCGTGTGATCTGGCAGCTAGCAGGGGGTGACATCTAGATTGGAGCCAGGCTGATATCCCCTTGCCCGCTTGCCCCCTGCCCACCTTTGTGTACAGTGCTAACACTGGAGTCTCACAAGCAGTTGGCAATGGCCGGTTTTATGCCTCCTTCCTACCCAGTGCCCAGAACAACCACTACACCTCAAGCCACAGATACAGATGGGGTCATTTATTTCAGAAAATGCTTGAAGAAACCCCTGGGCCGTGTGCAGAGAAGCACCAGTCCTCAGGGTCCTCCAAGCCAGCCCTGCCCCCGGGCAGCTGAATCACGGGCTCTAGTTCCTTCCCTGAGCAGAGAGAAGGGGTCCAGGGCAGGGTCCCCTAACAGGGAGTGGAGGAATGTGGGGTGGCTCCCCAGCTCAGGCCGAGGGGAAAATGAGAAACCCACTGAAGATGCTGTCGACTTCAGGACCTTGGTAAATGCGACCCTTTGCGTCCTTCTCGATCCACACTTGGTCCCCCCTCTGCAGCTGGAGCACAGTGCCCCCTGAGATCACCTGGAAGAGCCCCTTGCTGTTGGCATCACAGAAACCCAGGGAACTCCTGGCTTGGCCCTGGTAGGAGGACTTGATAAACAGACAGAGATCCCACTTGGAGGTCACTTGGAAGGTGAAGTAATAGAAACCAGGCACCGCACAGATGAAGCGGCCCGTGTTGCTCTGGTATGGGCCCTCCTCGTTGGTGATGACCTGGTCGAAGATAACCGCATTGCCAACTGTCGGTGGGTTTTTCCGAATGGCTGAGAAAGCTGGCCTGGGCTGGTCCCTGATATTGCCTGGGTTGCCTTTGACGCCCTTCGGTCCTGCGGGGCCACTGCTCCCCGGGGGCCCAGTGGGCCCTGGGAACCCCATGTTGCCTGGTTTTCCGGGGAGTCCATCCTCCCCCTGGTCTCCTTTAAGGCCTCGGATGCCCGTCCGGATGCCAGGAGCTCCTGTGCGGAAAGAGCAGATTGGTGGATGAGGGCATCATGGGTATGGAGTCCAGAGCTGCCAGTCCTCACAGAAAAAGACTTTGCTTTAAAGAGACCAAGTCAGACTGGTCTGACTGGCTGTGTGGCGCTGGGCAAGCATCCCAACCTCTCTGAGCCTCTGCTTCAGCCACAGAAACAGAGCGAAGCAAAGGCAGTCCTGTGACAGACCCCGAATTCTAGGAAATGTGGGGCTCTCTGGCTGCTCAGCTGAGTTCTGCCCATGGCTGTGTCACCTCACATGTCTCCAGGTCACTAACTCCTTTCTCGGATTTGGGACCTTAGACGGGGCAGGATGTGTGTGTGTGTGTGTGTGTGTGTGTGTGCGCTTGTGTGTCAAATTGTCAGTGTTGGTGAGGGTCCCTTTCAGCCTCCTGAAGACCCAGAGGCTGAGGATGACAGGGGACTTTCCTTCCTGCTCTGGGCTCTGGTCATAACCCCCTCCCTTCCAGTCCCCCTGAAGGTGACATGTTCTGACAGGGTAGCATGGTCAGGGGGGTAGGGACAGAGTAGGGGGCTGGAAGGAAATGCGAAGGGCGGTTGTTATTGGCTGATTTTTCTTACATGGTTTTTGGTTTCTTTTTTTGTTTATTTGCTTGTTTGAGACAGAGTTTCTCTGTGTAGCCCTGGCTGTCCTGAGACTCACTTTGTAGACCAGACTGACTTTGAACTCACAGAGATTCATCTGCCTCTGCCTCCGGAGTGCTGGGATTAAAAGTGTGCACTAGGGCTGGAGAGATGGCTCAGCGGTTAAGAGCATTGCCTGCTCCTCCAAAGGTCCTGAGTTCGATTCCCAGCAACCACATGGTGGCTCACAACCATCTATAATGAGGTCTGGTGCCCTTTTCTGGCCTTCAGACATACACACAGAAAGAATATTGTATACATAATAAATAAATAAATAAATAAATAAATAAATAAATAAATAAATAAATAAAAAGTGTGCACTACCACCACCCAGCCTAATTTTTTGTTTGCTTGCTTTTGGGTTTTTATTTTCGTTTTTGTCTCTTTTACAGGCCAGGCAGGGCTCATTGCTATGGGTGGACTTCCCTAAACCCCAGGCAGGGTTCTGCCTCCATTTTACAGAGGAGAGGATCTGTAACTTGTTTGAAGTCAACCAACAAGGCAATGGCTTCTGACTCCAGATTCTAGGCTCTGTTATTTAGACCTTTGGCATCCATCCTCCATGTAGCTTATTCTGCAGAGGAGGAAATGGGAGGATCATGGAGGAGCTAGAAGGGTCACAGGGAGGCGGCTGGGCCCACAGTTCCCGGGAGAACTACACACTGTGATGGCTTCCTGGAACCCAGACACACCACTGCTTCTCAGGACCATCCCTAGGCCGTTCCTTTGAGGATGGCAGGATGGGGCCCAGGAGAGAATGCTTACCTGGTTCCCCTCTCTCTCCTTTGAGACCCGGCCTCCCTGGACGGCCAGGATTTCCTGCAGCCCCATCCTTCCCATTGGGTGCTCGGCAGACATCCTGGGTCACTGTGGATACCAGGGTCACGGCCAGCACACAGGCTACCAGCCATCCCTGAGAGGCCTCCATGACGTCCCTGTAGAGACACACAGGAATCCTGGGCAGGAGGACAACCAGAATCACACATCTGTCCCACAGTGAATCCCACAGGCAAGGTTCCGGGACCCTGTCTGGAGCCTTTGTGTCCTCCCATGATTTACACATGTCCTCAGCACCCGTAATCAGTCATAAGTCCCTAACCCTAGCCCTAATAATAACCTTGACCCTAGCCCCTAGCCCTAACCATAACCCCAACCTTTGCTCTGACCTTAAGCCTAATACCCAGTCCCTACCCTAAATCCTAATCCAAGCCTATAGGTGCTAGCTCTAGCTTTAATCCTGACCTTGACTTTAACCCTAACCTTAATCCTATCTCCTCGCTCTAGTCCGGATCCTGACTCTGACCCTGGTCCCTACCCTGATCTTTACCTTAGTCTTGATCCTGACCTTGACCCCGATCCTCACCCCAGCTCCAAACCCCTGCACCTGCTCAGCACATTGATCTGATACCCACATAGACCTCCCCGCTCTGTGGACATGCAGGCTCACATACTCCCACACATGATGGATCTCATTGAACAAATATTTACCAAGCGTCAGCACTGTTTTAATTACAATCTCCGGCCCAGATGGCAAGCTATGCACACTCACAAGCTTTCACAGACATCTGCCGGCTCCCCGGCAGCCTCGGCCCCCTTTCTACATCCATACATGGACTGACTGTCCCTGCAAACCCCTCTGCTGGTCCAGCTGCCGGACTCTGGCTCCCCCACCCGCCTCTTGGCTCTCTGTGGTTTTTGATGGAAGAGAGACAGCACCCATTAACTCTTAGAACTGTGGGTCTGAGTTCTCTCACCTCACCTTCCCCCAAGCTTTGGCCGGAGGATAGGATCCCTCCACCTGTCAGGTCTGGGTTTTAAATCAGTACCCCCCACCCTATACATCCTTCTAACAGAACCAGCTAACAGCAATGTTCTTCCTTCTCTGCCTCAGTTATCCAGACCGGTCCAGCTACCTTGTTATCCAGACCGGTCCAGCTACCTTGTTTTCCCAGCCCCCTCCCCCTACGGCTTGGCCTCACCTGTCTCCGTGGTCGGCTCAAACTGGATGTTCTGGTACTTTGCTGGTGGTGGGACACCCATGAGCAGAGGGTGTCACCAGGGTGCCGCCGAGTTTCACATCCTTTCCCACTTCCCCTTCTTGGAATCTGCCCCCTGAACTTCCCCAGGGCCAGACACCAGGCATGGAAATTTTAAGCAAACCTCAGCAAGACTGGGACACAGGACTTCCTATCCCAGCCCCAGTTACGAGGAGGGGGCTCTGGGAGAGCAGGGTGGAGCTTTAGGATCCAGAGAAGCAAAGAACATCAGGGCAGAGGGAATCTGTCTTTGAATCAGTAACTTGGGGGACTTTTTTCTTGATTAGGGAAGACACAAGAGTTCATGGCCAAGTGCTTGTAAAATTCAGAGAAGGAACAAAGAGGCTGCTGGGAGCAGAGAGGACAGACCACTGTGAGGTAGAGGCACGCAATGGGTTTCAAGCTCACCACTTCCTAGCAGCCAGTCTTTAGGAAGTTGCCACATCTCTTCACTCTCAGTTTCTCTTTCTTCCATCCTCTCTGTCTCTCTCCCTCCCTTCCCTCCTTCCCTCCTTCTTTCCTTTCTTTTTTCCCTTTGTTTTCTTTTAACAGGGTTTCTCTGTGTAGCCCTGGCTGTCTCTGGAACTCACTCTGTAGACCAGGCTGGCCTCTGCCTCCCAAGTGCTGGGATTAAAGGTGTGCGCCACTGCTGCCCAGCTACCCAAGTCCTTTAAATCAATATTTAAAACAAAAACAACAGGGCCACAAGGCTGGCATGCTCTTCAGCTTGGAGACTTACCTGACATGTATAAGGCCCCAAGTTTCATCCCAGCAATGTTTTTTTTTTAAAAAGGACATATTTGCTTATGCAATATTCGCATACATATTTGCAGGGTTTTCTTACTGTTGTTTAATGTACCATTACATCAAGTAAAGTGGCACATGCCTGTAATTCCAGCACTGGGGAGGCAGAAACAGGAAAGATCAGGAACCCAAGGCCACCTTGGTGAGTTTGAAGCTAGCCTGGTCTACGTGAGGCCCTGTATTAAGGAACAACAGAAACCAAAACAAGGGCCAGAGAGATGTCTCAGCAGGTAAAGACACTTGCCATCAAGGTTGGTGACCTGGATTGGCTTCTGACCTCCGCTCGTGGTACACAAGCACTCCTACACACGCCCAAATAAATAAGCAAGCAAAGCTAACAGAAGTTTCTTAGAACATGTCAGCTTTTGTGGCCTAGGAAGGACGAGACCAGCAGAACTTCACTGGCTCAATGAAGGCGCCCAAAACTCATGTTTGTATCCACAGAGAAAAGAGAAGGAAGGAAGGAATTCCATCAAAATAACAAGAGTTCTGGAAAGTTAGTAAGACTGCTGTGTTAGAAATAAAACGGATTGGGGCTGGAGAAATGGCTCAGTGGTTAAGAGCATTGCCTGCTCTTCCCAAGGTCCTGAGTTCAATTCCCAGCAACCACATGGTGGCTCACAACCATCTGTAATGAGGTCTGGTGCCCTCTTCTGGCCTGCAGGCATACAAGCAGACAGAACATTGTATACATAATAAATAAATTAAAAAAAAATA